TAGCGATATGTTTAGGTTTCCAACTCTGAAGAAGGCGATAACGCCGAAAGGTAAGTTGATAAGAATTTATTCACCATCTTGGCAACAGGTTTTATTAAAATCTTATAAAACTAATGCAAAGCTATGCCAAGATTTATGGAGAGTCGAACATGGACGCTTAAGTAACAGGATGCTCTTGCGTGCACTTTGGTCGGATCTCCCAGTAAAAGAAACGGCACTATTTACCCTTTACTGCCTCACTTTGTCAAGAATAGACTAAATTTCTATCGAATTCTTTTCAAGAAGATGAAAAAGACTAGAAACTTGCCTAGAGGGGGAATTCGACCCGTAGAACACGAATATCGCATCCATTAGTCATGAAAACGCCTGGAAAGGGCAAGTTTTCAGCAAAATTGGTGACCCAGGTGACGCCTATGGCGCGTGCGCTAGGCATCTTCATGACGAGTGGATGCGATATTCGTGTTCTACGGGTCATGTAACCCCTCTAGGCAAGTTTCTAGTCGGTTTCATCTTCTTCACAAAAATTCGATAGCAATCCAGCCCATTCCCTACAAAGTGGGGCGTAAAGGGTAAATAGTGCCGAATTTTTATATGACATCTAACTTCTATCCTGAGCAAGAATGAAGTCGGTTGATGTCGTCGTCCGCCTACAGTCGAGGAGCTCGTGACGAACACTGAGTCGCACTAGACACTCCTGGTCAGTCAAGGATGTGCGATATTTGCACAGAGTGCTGCTTTGAAAGTGACTCTTGCTGGGGTGTCGTGGATGATGGATTGGGGAGTAGAGATAGCCTTTTCCAAATCCTGTCACTTCGAACAGGATTGCTCTGACGGAAGGCCAGAACAGGGCCCGTGCTTGAGGACAGTGGACGTTCGTTTCGACAAAATTTGTCGAGGCGGATCTCTTCTCAGGAGAAGGGATCGTGCCTTATAGGCAGGTGAGAATAGAGGGTCACTGTTGTCAATCAGTCAATATGCTTTACTTCCGAAACACGATAATTTCCGTCGTTCTTGTTTCGGAAATCAAGGTGAAAATTTTGCTCCACCTTTTTGTTATCTGGATTCTATTGCGATGCGTCCCTTATGCTGCACTTGCAAATTCATGGAAGTCAAGCAGTCGAAATGAGAGCAAATGAGAGTGAACGCCAGCAGTTACTGAAGTTCATTCTCATTGATTCTTGTGTACTACGTTGATTCTTGTGTAGATGCCTGGAATGTAGAGAATGATAGGGCGATCGGAGGAATCAACGAAGTACACAAGAATCAATGTGAGTGAACTCAATCAAGAACTCATTAACCACTTCACACCATCGCCGTCGTTGTACATCTAACACAACAAACTTCCAGCTACGAAGAAATTTCGCGTCCTTGCTGCACAGCACAAAACGGAATAAGTGGGTGTAACCGGGGTGTGTTGAATCGAAGTGGTCGTTTCGCGGCGAGAGCGAAGTTGCGCACAAAGGAATGTGGCAAAATGAAAGAGAAGCAGCGCAGCGAGCAGGAGTACAGGAAAAAAAGAAGGAATGGCGGAGTCATGCCAAAAATAGTAACCGCATATCGATCGAGCTGTATGAAGAAAGCTGGAACTGCAATAAGCGGCAACTAGTCCGTCGGCGAATCGATTACGCAAAACCGATTCAACTTCCCGTCTCCCCCATAAAGGCACTGCGAATATTACTGCAAAGGTAGCGCCTGTCTCGATGTAGATGGTTCCCAAGACTTTTAGAACGAGTTTGAAAGAGAGGCTTCCGAGACACACTGATGGTACGAAACTGTGCGGACTGCATAAAACGAGTACCATCCACTTTTAATTGAAGAGCTCACAAGACCAATTCCAAGAGCAACTACTCATCATAAATCTTTAGAATAAAGCACTTTTATTCAAATTTAACAGTAATAGGTACAGATGTTTATAAGCTATACGTACACTAGATAAGAGAAATATTTCATAGATCGGGTCACTATTCGAAGTAACTGGAATGGTTCGGAAACACCTAATTCTTTTCTGTACACCCTAAATTTACGATATATAAATAACAGCAAAGGTGAAGAAAAAGATGAGTGGAACAAAGATAGAACCTATATGAATGACGATTGTTCTCCAATGAACAATATGAGAATCCACATCAAGCAAACAAAGCTCACAACCAAGGAGTGGCGGGGACAGGGCATCTTACACAGGAATTGCTTGGTTGAAGGCGTACCGAGAATTATGAATCCATAACCCAGAACTGCTTATTCCCTAACGTTAATTACAATCTGCTTGTGCTTTGGATCGTCAAATCTGTCCATGGTTTGAACGGAATTCAGCATCAAGAATCCAAAGATGAAACCAGCTAGAAGGATGAGAATACTGACGATAGCTGTAAAAATAAACAATTCAACATGTGATGCATTCAGTATTTTAAAAAATATGTTATATTCTTGAAAACAAAATGAACACTTCACAACACTGATATATAGGAGGATAACTTGATTTACCCGCGGTCAGTCAACCAGCGTCTAGTTTGACTGTATTTTTAATAAAGGGCTATATGCATTTAAGCGGTGGAAAAACTGTGAATCCAACTCTTTTCCCAAAATCTGAATCAACAGGGTATAAACTTGGTTTCATTCGGGGATCTACATAATGACTAAAAGGCTTGACCTTAGAAAAACTTCACTACTCATATGCGGTTCTAGTCCCAAAGTGTAAAGTATGCGATTTCAGGCTCAAAATTTTGTTGCGTATTTGATTGAGTACAATGCTGTTATCCATTCCCCTGTGTAAAGTGTATAACCCTTCAAAGGGCGCTGCCTTAATTCATCGTTCTCGAAACCAATCGCAACTTTAACTGTAATTCCACCATTTTAGAAGGCCTACTTCATCCTCTTTTGAGATTCCTATTCATGCCTGTGTGGTGAATTACACTCCAGCATTTAAAACATTAGAAAAAGTTTGGTACCGTCGCCTTAGAGTGCATGTGACAAGAAAGCGTATAAATCTTCTGGTGAAAGATCAATGCCCCTAATGCACACGCTAGGCAGAAAAAAAAATCGAACTCAGTAAAATTTGATCTGGCGCATCGAAAAGGGTAGTAACGTAAAATAAAACAAGGAGAATCATGAAAACTAGTTACAAGAGATTAAAGTGAAAGGCGTAGTGAAGTGTAGTCGAGCTAAACAAGTATGTCTCTGCGCCCTAGGCCATCTTAGTCACTAATGCATCTCGCTCTTCCTTCCCACTGGGTGACTTGAAACAAATAAAAAGGAAGAATTAGAGATGAAAAAACAGAGAGCTGGCATACTTCAATAAAGAGACAGAGTAACTAAGAACACAAGGTTGAAGAATCGTTCTGAAAAAATGAAAAAAATCCTTGTTGGGGACAATCCAAGAACGTGAAATCAGAGCTACTCTCTTGAAAGAGACCATCGAAAAGGAATGACGAAAACGAACAGAGGAGAGCGAAAATTGCGACGAGGATTATGTTACACAAGATCACCCGAAAACCTTATTCAAAGCTAAAGAGGAGGAAACTCTACAACAGCAACGAAAAGATATGATGCTATGAGGTCAAACAGTTACACATCGGGTCAATTTCACCGACATGGAAAGTCCTACTGATAAACTAAAGTCGAGAAGAAAATATAAACAAGGTTTTCCATGAAAACTCAAGATCTTACCCATCCATGATCCAACTGAAAACGTCCCTACACAGTCATCTACTTGTCTGGTGAAATACATTTGTTGCGTCTTCTGGTCTGGGTATACAGCAAACGGCTGAACCTAAACCAAAAAGCAAATGTGAAGATCACAAGAAGATTAGTGGGGTTAAGCTCATAGCTATCGAATATCGAAGAACAACTAGAAAAAAGAGAATGTGAATAAACTCAGTAAAATCCAAGGCATGAGTTACCTCTGTGTTGTACAAGGATACACCTATCAGAACATTCTCCTGATTGGTTCTGAAAAATGCTGCTTGAGAGTCACTGCATGCAATCGCAAATCCTTGTACACTTGTGAAGCCAACATTTTGCACAGAGGTTGGTGAGATGACCTTCTCTTGAGCCGTTGCTGCCTGCAACACGATTCATTTCTACAAGTAGAAGTCTTCATGTGGGGTTAAGTTTTNTTTTCCGCAAATAAAAAATCACTTGCGCTTACTGAAAAACCCCAACCACATTAGAAATAATGCGACAAAACCACATACTAACAAGTTTCAAAGGGTTGCTACGACCTTGTCTGACAGTGATCAACAACTACAATTCAGCTTACCACAGTAATCTACACAGGTAGACACTGTAGACAGAGGTCATGTATTATAAAAATCGCTATTTCACAGCTTATTAGAAGTTTTCAGTCTCAAAAGTTTACAACTTGCATCAAGAAACTGGGTTTGAACCGGAAAGTCATCTTTATTAACCAGCAGGTCTCTTTACTTGACGTGGATTTAGAGAGGGTTACCGTCTAACACATACCGCACAATTGAAATAGAAGTCAACGTACGTTATTTCTTGAGGAACTGAGCCAAATATAAAGTGTGTTCGTAAGAGGCACCCTAGCCCCATGAGCGTAAAACAAATGGTTTGAAGAATATAAATAAAACTCACTCCGCTAAGAAAACCACCTTGAGAAGTGCCTTCGACAGATAGTTTGTTGGCAACTACATCAGTGAGCTGCCAGAATCCTGTTTTAGCTCCAGTGAAAACAAGCCTGTGAATAGAGTAATGATCAAAAAATTTAAAAAAAAATGAGTTAATTTAATCAACAATTCCTCCAATCAATAGAAAGGCTCTACTTCAGCTCAATATAAATGTCGTTCTCAAATTACAAAATCAAATCTACAAATCAGGTCGGCAGTTTTACAAAAGAAAAGCATGGCAGGATCGATTATCACTCGTGGTTACTATACCACAGACAGTTTCGCCTTTCTTGGCATTAGCATTAAGGTAAAAGACTAGCTACCATCTGGAATTCAGTGAATATCCAAATCACTTGCCCAAGATGGGAAGTTATGCGCAATCAAGTAGCACACATGTACGTGGGAACGAGTGCATTCATACTACTGTGTAATACTCGAAATTTTGAAGTTGCATGGTCACTGCATAGAACCACCGATTTCCTTCCCCATGAAAATTTAGATTATCAAGATTGAACTTTTTTATAATACAAGCAAAGTTCTTTCTTTTGATGTCCAAAATATTGTCAGAAATCATACGGGATGAAGTTTTAATGCTACTTTTCTAATCTTAAACGATGGCTTCCAAAATATTATTCTATGAAATATATATCGTTCCTAATGTGAAAGTAACCTCTCCCTCAAACAATGCACATAATACTTGTTGGGTTTGTCAGGCCGAGCAAAATATATTTGCACTGTCTTTTATTTACCGAATGAAATCTAATAGCTCTCGTTAAGAAAGGCGTGTTGAAGGAACAATGAATAACTATTCTTCGGCCATACTGAATACGATCAATAACACTCGAAGAACAGGATCATTTGCAACTCACGTGAACATAAGTTGGCTTCCAGAGCTTATTTTAACCTGACCCTTAGCATCAACAGCGTCTGCTTTAAGCTTCAGTCTCACAGCGAATCTACAATGTTGAAAAATGACGTTGCATAGAACCTTGAAAATAGTACACAAACCTGTACTCGCCGGCAGTATCATTCACACAATTAACATCCCCATCTGCATAATTCCTGAAAAAGGACTATTCAAATCCCGCATTTTTTTTTTCAAGAAAAAATTGAAAAAAAACTAACCAAGTGGTTTCATTGGATCGGATCGGAATTGTAGCGAAAGCCTTCTTAGAGTTCTGTACCACAATGTTTACACCCTCCATGTAGAGAAGACATGATCCCAGTCCTGCGCTAAATTAGAGGACGATGAATTTTACAGTCTCAATATATCATCAAACGAAACTGGTAGAAGCGTTCGGAAAATCGAGAAACCACTCCTAGTTACACGTGGGAAAATAGCTGATAAAAAATAGAGAAATAACTAGCACTTAAAGCAGATCAATGTCACAATAAAATAGACCGTAAGGTCCTTGTACCAATTAGGAAAGTTTGATGACCCGATTCTCACAAATTTGGAAAACGTGATGGGAATTTAGTGCTTACAGAAACTTGTTTGCACAAATCAAACACCCTGAAAAACTCGAGGTTCTCGCTCAAACATATCAAGTACGGAAAGCCTGCAGAGATTAAACAATAAAATCTCAAAAGAGTGCTATTAGTGCTTCATAATGCTGCCTCTCACCTCTAAAGTGCATATTTCGGAAAGAAAACATAATAGCTCGACCCCGAAAGAAACAAAAAACTCACCCTAGTGGCTTGACGGAGGGGTATTCAGTCCTGTTGTATGGAGGTAAATTCAAAGGCATTGCGACATCGGGTCCTGAGCGTGACAACTGCTCTTGAAACTAGTCATTGTAAAGCTTATCAGTAAGATAGCATACCTACGGCTGCGTCTGGTGAAGGAGAGCCCGATGGGGCATCGTCGTTCTCCATGTCAGAAGTCACAACGCGCTTCACTCTTGCCTGCAGAGAAGCTTTGAAAAAAAAAAGCTGGTGTACAAAAAATTCTGGGTTACCTTGTCCCAATATACCGCATCGCTAGCCGTAATTATACCAGTGTATTTGTCTCCGATTTGTGGGAGAACAACTTCTGCGAGATTCTGCATGCTTGCCCATTCCTCTCCCATGAGTACGAAAATTTTTGCACCAGCAACAAAATCGTTTGGTGATGTAAGAACAACTGCATCAGGCGTCTAAACACACCCTGAGTTCAAGTCAACACCGTGGTCGATAATAGAAAAATCTCAGGTCGAAGTGGCCATTGGAATGAGAACTTCACCTTGAGCGACGCGTACTTCCACGCATATCTCTGATCATCCTACCAAAACGCCAAGACAAATTTATGGATAACAGAAGTGTTTTTTTTCATTTTCAATAAAGTAAGGGTTGCCAGAAGTATGTATAGGACACTCCACTGCTGGTTTACTACTGCTCAATTACAGGCTTGTTTTTAGTGTACTTACCGATGACTTTCTGCTTAAAGTGCAGCCCAATTTGCTTATTAGAAGGCATTTGTTCGCCGTTTTGGTTACCGCAATGGGCTTATTCCAGACGTAATATGTCACTCAAATTAAACAACTTATGAATGCCGCCGACCTTTGGACGCCGACATTCTTTCAGAGATCTAGTTGCAGAGAGATGAAATAGTCGAAAAGTTGCATGGGATCCTGGTATGGAAACATGAAGAGACCAGAAAGGAAAAAAGCAAGGCAATCCTTTCAAATTTAACGAAAAAAATTCAAATCACGACAACCAACTTCCCAGTATGTAGGCTAAGAGTGCTCGTAAATAAAACCATAGAAATATATTTCAGCATAAGCTTCTAACCTCGAAAATATTGCAACTGAAGTTGTCTAAATTGAGAGGAAACGGTCTCAAATCAGATGCGTCGATTAAGCCTATCGCAATGACAATGCTACCGACCAATTGCCCCTTCGGGAAATATTTGAGGTACCAAGTAACACAAACATTAAAAGAGCAAAGTAATTCAATGTATCATGATTTTGCTAAACTAAAAGCTGCCGTAGAGGAGTAAAATCAGTCACGCTTGACCAAGTTCAAATAGCAAATGCGAGGAAAAAATGGAGCAATGGATCTTAATATTCCTCAATACTTACCTCCCTGAATTAAAAGTGAGGACAAGATAAAGGAACTAAAAGCGTTCTGCGATTTTTGAAAGCAAATTCAGTATGAGCATTCGAGAATTCTTGAAGTCGCTAATGGCCTCTTCGACTTGGGATTATAAGCATTGTAAGATATCAAATGAATGAAAGACTATTAAAGATTACATAGAAGCTGTCAGCGAAGTATCGAGAAGCGTGATGTGAAGACGACTTGACAACAGCAGGTAAGCCGGACACACGCTTATCTTGTGAATATGCAGCCGCCTCTCGAGAAAACTGCCCTAAACAAGCTACTCAGATTTCAATGAAAATTGTTTTGTATTACACTATTTCTCCATGAACTGTAAGACCTAGCCGAAGGCAGAGAACCTCCGTTGGAAGTAGCTGAAGAAGTTTGAAAACAAAGGAAATAAGTGCAGTTATGTTCCTAGTTAGCAGTGAGCTTCGAACACGGGAGCAAAGGGGAGCTCTAAATCACTAGGAAAAGTTGCGGTATTGAGTAATGACGATGCACATCAAGCTCAATGCTGATCCTCATTCCCACTCAAAAAAACTTCGTAAAAAAATATGTGCTATAATTAATGAACGGCGAGACTCAAATTTTGAGGTATCATGAACACTGGACAGCATGATAGACATAGATGGAAACCGACTTTTCGCTTGGGAAGCGCTACTATGCATATTGACCACTTGGATGTGGAGCGAGATTGTGCTCAGTAAATGGGATTGGTATAACTCCAAAACGATTCAAAAGAGCTACCAACAATGAAATCTTATGAAGGGTTGAAACTCAGGCAAACGATGAGAATTAAGGAAGTTTAAAATGCAACAACAAACCTAAAGTGAAATCGGGATTGACTAGAAAAATAAGAGGTGATTCTGAAGAAGCAGTCGATATTAAGTTCGGAATACTTGGGAAATCCTTCCTGAAAATATGATAGTGACTTTCATCAGAAGTAGCAAACAAAAATTTCTGAATAGCGTGAGCTGTTCATTTTAATTGGTGCTAGAAAAGACATGATCCCAAGCGACGGGTCGCGACAGAGCCTCCCCTCCCATCACAAGAATGCACCATCTTCTTAACTATTAAATTTTCACTTCACAACATATAAAGTTCAGAGACCTGAATCAGGGAATAAAATGGTGTTGAGTCCTTCCCATTGCTCTCTCTCTTACCAAAACAATACTATCGTTATAAATGGGTAAATACTCCCCCTATCTGTTGTAAACCAACTCGTTATTATAGCCCCTCCGTCGTACCAATAAATCCACGAAATCATCGATGACACACCTGATATTTCGTTTAGGCGACCTCTATTGTTCGATAATATAGCTTTCACGACTGTGGCAAAGCAACTATCGAACACATAACAAATCAGGTTTTTCAAAGAAAGTTTTCTCAACAACTGGTTACGAGCTATGATAGCAAAAGATAGAGAACAGTAAAATCTAGGTTGACAGCTCTGTTACAAATTAGCTAATATTTCACTTCACACCACATTTCACAAAATGGTTCAAAATAGAATTTCTAACCATCGTCTTTGAAATCATTCTTGTTGTTTCCCTTTCTTACTCTAATAACTCTATTCGACTATTTATGTTTTACTCGTTTAAAACAGCCCTATGCGTACAAGACAATGGTCATGGAGCTTCACACCTAGTTAAGATAGGCCTGTACCGAGGTGTGAAGTGACTTCAATCGTGTAGAAACTTGCACACCCAAGTTGTCTTAGATTTCAAAGTGCCAGTTTGGTGATCACCTTCGCTGACGCTGCATAAATGGTTACCACCACAAAAAAAGGAAAACCGAAACAACATTATATGACAGTGCTCTAACCATCATGAATGTGCAAGTGTTTTGTCCAACACATGTCCTCAATTAT